CACCTTGCCTGGCTAGTTTTTTGTATTTTTTAGTAGAGACGGGGTTTCACCGTGTTAGCCAGGATGGTCTCGATCTCCTGACCTCGTGATCTGCCCATCTCGGCTTCCCAAAGTGCTAGGATTACAGGCTTGAGCCACCGCGCCCGGCCTTACCCAGCAGTTTTATCTCTTGTTCACCAAAGTGTCCCAGCCCAGCACAGTACAAGGCACAGAGTAGGTACTTAATACACATCTTTTTTTATTTTTATTTTTGAGATGGAGTCTCACTCTGTCGCCCAGGCTGGAGTGCAGTAGCACAATCTCAGCTCACTGCAACCTCCACCTCCTGAGTTCAAGGGATTCTCCTGCCTCAGCCTCCCAAGTAGCTGGGATTACAGGTGCCCACCACCACGCCCAACTAATTTTTGTATTTTTAATAGAGACAGGGTTTCACCATGTTGGCCAGGCTGATCTTGAACTCCTGAGCTCAAGTAATCTGCCTGCCTTGGCCTCCCAAAGTGCTGGGATTACAGACATGAGCCACGGTACCCCCGTTAATACACATCTTGAAGGAATAGATGAATCAGTGAATTAATGAAGCTGGACGGGGCTAGGCCTGAAGGCAGAGTTTTGGGGAGGTGGTGGTGAGAGAAGGCTGCAGTAATTTCACTCCCTCCCAGGAATACACCACTTTCCTTGTGGTGTCCTGGGTAAATGTCCCCAGTCATGACCCTCTGGGGCTGTGCTTCCTTACCAGGGATAGCTGCTCTCGGAGCTGGATGACCACCCGTTTGTGTGCTCCAGCTAAGGCAATGAAGTAAAACATGATGAGGCTGCAACACAAGACAGACAGGTCACTAGGGAGTCTGGATCATCTGAAGGCCACTAGAAAAACAACCCAACGTATTTTTCCTTGGAACAGTTTTACTTTTGTTAGAAAAGAAGGCTGGGCACGATGGCTCATTTTCATATTCCCAGTGCTTTGCCCAGGCAGAAGGATCACTGAAGGTCAGGAGTTTGAGACCAGCCCAGGCAACATAGTGAGAGCCCCATCTCTAGAAAAATAAAATATGGCCGGGCGCGGTGGCTCATGCCTGTAATCCCAGCACTTTAGGAGGCCGAGGAAGGCAGATCACCTGAGGTCAGGAGTTTGAAATTAGCCTGACCAACATGGTGAAACCCCGTCTCTAATAAAAATACAAAAATTAGCTGGGAGTGGTGGTGGGCACCTAGATTCCCAGCTACTCAGGAGGCTGAGACAGGAGAATCGCTTGAACCCAAGAGGCAGAGGTTGCAGTGAGCCGAGATCGCGCCACTGCACT